TCGCTTTTTTCAGCCGTTTTTTTTTTTTTTTTTTATCTATCGAACCCTCTCGATCGACTCTCCGCCTTTTTTGCGGCTCTTTCTCGGCGTCGTGAAACGCGTAGGTGGTCGCAAACTTCATAGCGCCGACGCGCACCTTCGCTCTCTCTCCGGCGATTTATTTTTCACTTCGATCGTTGTGTGATACCTTGGTTAGTCGCGACGATGTACCAACAATGTGCCTACGCGAAACGCGGCGTCACCTCTTTTTCTTTTTCATCGATAGGCTCGTTACGCAGCGTATCGTGCGAATTCATTCGCCTGGCGTCATCGTCGACGATGCTGGTATGTCCGACACAGTTGTTGTTCCTCGATTCCGATTTGCTAGCTTTACGATTTTCCCGTCGCATAACTATTTAATCTTTTGCTAAATTTGATATTGATAGAGAAGAAATTATTTTTTAGACGTTGACTTGAATGTCGGGAACTTTCCCATATAATTTTTCCACGTTTTTTTAAAATTTTATTATCGCATAACATAAATTGCACGATTTATATTTTTATTTTGCATATTTCTTTGGTTGTTGTAATTAGAATACAATGCTTAAAATAACAGAAAGATGATAATAGCATCGACGACTCATTATCACTCGGGTCATCGTAAAAAGCACACTCTTGACGAGCGCGTTCTTATTTGAATAAGGTAGTTCAACGAACTCGTTTGTCATTGTCTATTAATGCCCGAAACACCGCGTTGACATTGCACGTATTTACCGAAATACCGACGGTAATTTATATGCTTCCGCGGTGTCGTACTTGCGTCTGGCAGTTGAGGCTGCGTAACGATGCACTAGGTATGTATAAACTGCCCGGTACGCGTTAATAACGGTATCTACTGGGCTAAAAGAGTCGTTTAGGGGCGAAAACGCGCGCCGAAGCCGCAGTTTGTTATTCACGGTCCAATTTGGGAAAAGAAAGATATTTTTATGGAGACGCGCGGCGATCGTTCCATGGAGCGCGCGTCACGAAACCTTAATAAGGAGGGCCCACCTCGTAAGGCACCTCGCCGAGGCCTACCGCACCGGAGATCACTCTCTGGACGAAGCGGCATTACACGGCCACCGCGCGACCCGCTAATCATCGTAATTCTTGATCGTTATAATGCGCTTAACGCATCGCGGGCCGTTCATTTCCGTAATTCCTCGACGTTTCGATAATGGCACAGTATCTTGAGCCCGACCCAACCTTTTGGCCCTGTCAGACCCTACTTAAGAGTATTCAGCCGTTGCGCGTCTACGATACGTGATACTAGATTTTGAATATTTTTATAAAGTGAATCTAGTCTTTGGCGCTATTATTTATAAAGACAATGCTTGTTGTCTTTCTGCCAATATAATATGTGAATATCTTATAAAATATTTCCACATAGAATTGGTTAACAAATATGGAGAATGTTGTAAAAAACTCCTCTGAATCTCTCCAATTTCAGGAAACACATACGTTTATTTGTCTGATAATTTGTATTCTCACTTTCTCACGAACTTGAAAGTTCAGCTTCTTTATTACGATCGATGGTTTTCCTTTGCACACTATGAATTAACGTTTCTTACAAATCAGTTAACGCTCTTCGTGCTATCGTCCGAGCTTTAAGGTCTTATCTACGACTATCACAGTGGCTCGCGCTCGCGGGAGGTATATTTGCCTACCGGGACGAGCTTTGGAATTTTACGAGATCCGATATTAGACCGTCCATCCTCGTGCGAAGATAGAGCCATTGAATCCTTCCTGCATTAGCGACGCTCGTTAGCCTCCTCGTTCATTGGAATACAGTCGTCCTTCTTTGACGTAATTGCCGCGCCATCGTCGAGGACGAGTCAAATCCTTGTTAGGTCCATTTACTGATGCCGGCAAGATGTGTAATAGAAACGTTTCCATTTTCCCGTAGGTTTGCTCCAAGAAATTTCAGGCATTAACGTCGCCCGACGTCGTTAAGCTCACGCTAATGTTCTTCGTCAGTCTCGTGCATTACAGTGTCTTTCCCTGAATATCCTCTTTTTATTCACATACGTAATTATTCTCTGCGATAATGACGGTGCAGAAACATTTATATTTTGTAAATTGATAGCCGATTTGGAACCATCATTTCTGAAATAAGTATTATGCGACTTTGCTTATTGACTGGATCGACTTTTGACTTGCTACTGATATTTACTACATGACAAATGATTCACAGTACAAATATCTGTTTTCACGAACGAAGGAAATTCGAATAAACTTAACGTGTGGCGAAAATCTCATAGCAGTTTCGTGAACATTCAAATTCTACTCGAAAAGATTAAAAACTCGCGTTAAATCTCGGAAATTTGCTTAAGTATATCGTGTGCAAATATTTGCAAATACGATGTTAATAGAATCTTCTTTTTTTTTTTATCAGGAGACAAGAAAGCTCATCTTTCATACTTATTGTTAGTGTGACGCGTTATTCTCTCTGCTCAAGATAGCTTTACTGTATATTACATTACGATAATGACATCCGCGATTACGTATATTATTATCAGTCATAGCTTCTGTGATTATTTGCTCAATTGGCCGCTGTTGCTTATCACTGGGATCTTTCCACATTTCTTCGAGATAACGCGGTATGTCGAATATATTGTCGACTTCGTTGGGTTTATTTTCGCGCCTCCCAAGGATCAGATTTGCCGAGAAATAGTGATCACTTACGAGAAATTTCACTTTTTTTTAAGAGATCACATTGAAAGCATCGACGAAGATTTCGTTAATGAAATTTTTATATATTTTGTTGATTAAACCAGTATTGGCAAAAACACAATCAGCGAAATATGTGTCGATGATTTTAATGTAAAATCGTTTTTAATTTCAATGGCAAGTGCAGTCTCGATAATTGTAATCATGTAAGTTATTATACAATGCCGCAACGTTTAATTTAAAAATGCTGTAAATTTATTTTTAAAACGCAAAAATATCGCGTTAATGAATGATATGCGAATTGACGCGTGACGCTCATTATTAAAATGATTCAAAAGATTTTACTTGCGCCATTTGCATATACATGTGTATATTTTTTATATACGCTGTTCCCGAATAATTCAATTGACGCTCGTGAATTATAAATTCCGCGTTGCGGAGATTGCCCTGCACGTTGATTTTATGATGCGATCTTTTTTTATTACCGTATAAAAAGTTGTTAGCGAATTAAATATTGATAGAAAAATTTTCCTCCGAGAGGCGCATTGGCTACAAATCTTCTGCATTAGTTAATTAATCACGTATTATAATAATAATAATATTTGCGTCACATTAACAAGTCACATAGGAGATATGTTAAAAGAAAGTTGTATGTGATATGTATGTTCGAATTTAATCAACGTTTGTTACTGCATACTAGTTACTACATTTTTTCTTTTTAAGGATATCATAGAAAAGAAAAAGAAGGTGAGAGGCAAGGAAGAAAAAAAAATTGATTCATAAAGACGCATACAGACTTGATGCGTATTTTCTTATCGTATTTATCATCATGTAAAATATTAATATTAATTAAATATTAAATATAATATTAGATGAAATATTATATTATA